CCCAGCCTGGACGCACAGAGCTCCCACCCTATCCAACCCATGGGGGCCAAACACAGGAGAGCCCAACACAGCCAGGTCAAGAGCGAACGCTCACGCCAGACCTTCTGCTATCTGACCCTCTCTATTAGACTGAGGGGGCCATTCTACTCTCAGAAGAGAAAAAACCAATAGCCTAGGGGAGTGGCCAGAGGGAGGGTTCGGAGCTTCACCCTAGGTGTATGGCCTGGGAGGCCTCCCATGCATCAGCCACTTTCGGTTTTTCCATCCATAAAGTGGTGGTAACATCTACAGCACAGGGTTATTGGACACCCAGAATTTGTGGCTCCTCTACTTAAAGGTGCAATGCCAACACCAATGAAATCCAGGGCAATTAGAACTCCCCCTGCTGGTAGTGGCCTCCTGAATCTCTAGTTGTGTGACCTTGGGCAAGTCATTTAACCTCTCTGTACCTTGATTAGATGCTCAGGGACAGAGGCAAAATGAATTTTGATGGCCACTGAGTAAATGTTCACGTGGCCAGGTGTGGGAATGGGAATAAGATCCAATCGAGAAGGTACCAAGTTTAAGGGGAGACTCAGGGAGAATGAGAGGTCACCCCTCCTGAGTCCCTCATGAATCTCCACTTTAATAAAGCCTTGCTCTACATGTTTAGGTAAATAAAGGAGGGCAGTTCCATAAAACTGGCCCCCAGGAAATGCACCAGGGACTTCTGACATGGCCCAGTCTCTTCCTTATCCCATCCCTGTGGCTCTCTAGTCCTTCATCAGAAGTCTCTCTCTTCTGGGGCTTAGGGAATCAACTATCTCAACAAGGTGAACTTGACCCACTGTGGGCTGTGGCGTTTCCATAGTTACATGTGTGGAGGTGTGCGTCTGCCTGTGTCTGTGTGTACAGTCCAGCAGTCTGTGCATCTTTCCTAGGCCAATTTATTCACACTTCCTGCTTGCACCACTCCAGCCTTGAACAATGACAACCAACAGTTATACTATACTTCCCGTGTCCCAGGCACGGTTCTAAGTGCTTTATCTGTGATAGTACAATCCCATAAAGTAGACAGAACTATTTATTGCCATTTGATGGGAGATGGGGAAATCAAGGCACAGAGAAATTAAGTGGCTTCCTCAAGATCACACAGCTAGTAAATATCAAAGGCAGGTTCAAATCCGGGCAGTCTGACCTCAAAGTCTGTGTTTTTTACCTCCAAGGGACACAGCACCCTGAATGTAGAAGGCCTGCAGCCCTCCGAGGGGTGGTCCTACACCTCCAACTCCCACCCCATCATGGGGCAAGTTGCTGAAGTAGGACAGCCACAGCAGTGAGGGTGGGGCTGCCCTTCTGGACACGCTGAGGCACAGCTTCAAAGAGCGAGCCTGAGAACAGCCCCAGGAAATAGCCACAGCAACACATACACAGACACACATGCATGTCTGCCAAGAGGCTGCAGACTTGGAGTTGAGTGGCCTCATGGTCCACACAGCGACAAGCTCTGCAAACAGTGGCCAGAGCCGGGGGACTAAAGAAGAATCCCACGTGTGCACAGCTTGGAAAGGACATACACACAGACAACAGTTGTCCACAGGAGCACTGTCTTTAAATAGAAAAGAACCTGAAATAGACCCCGAGCTCTCTCTCTCTCTCTCTGTCTCTCTCTTTGTCTCTCTCTCTCTCTCTCTCTCTCTCTCACACACACACACACACACACATGCACGCACGCCACCCTGGGCCAGTGGAGTGACTGAACATGCCTTAGCTGTACCGGTGGCAAGGGGAGGAAACCTAGTGCCCTGGCAGCTCCTGACTTTCTGTTCCTATTTAAAATGTCTGAATTGGGAGCATCGACAAGTTCCCAAATTAGCTTTTTAAATAGAAGCTGAGAGTTAAAGGAAAAGCGGCCGTGTCATGGGGGAAAAGCAAGTGAAAATCCCGGCCAGGCCAGGCCAGAGGCAGAGAGGGGGCGGCGGGGCCACTGGAAAGAGGCAGGGCAGGGTGGGGAACAGGGAAAGAGGAGGGACACATCTCCTGGGCAGGGCTCCTCCAGCTGCCCCAGGCAAGGGGCCTCCTTTCTGCCCATTATTTGCTCTCTCTTATTTTCCAGGTCACCTGGTTATGAGAAGGGCTGGTAAGTACAACCATGTATTTTTCTCTAGAAGTTCCTGACAGAAAGGAGAATGTGGTCTACAGATATTTAATTAAGTGATGAGATGAGAGCCTGGGAGGAATGGGGGCCAGGTGTGTGTGGGGAAGGGCGCGTGTATAAATCATGGTTCTGTCTTCAAGCAGGGCCAGAAGGTCAAGATAGCACTGTGTCCATCATTGAAGCTCTCTGGAGGCGGAAGGGTGCTCTCAACTAACGGCCCCCAAAAGCCTCCAATCTTGGGGGCTCACCCAGCTGCTGAGTAACCCCAACATGCAAAGCAAAGATGGGAATGTACAGGAGTTCAAACCTGGGCAGAAATAAAACACTGGGTTTTAACTCTCAGAAGTCGGACTTGGGGATGGAGGACTGAAGACCCCTTCTGGATCTGCTCCCCAACATCTGAGAACCCAACTCCCAGGGTTCACAGCAGTTGAGACCCACCATCCTGAGAAAATTAGCTCTTCCCCAGAGGGAAGAGGAGGGAGGTGGCAGCAGTGCTAGGGCCTTCCCTGAATTCTTCCCCTGTCTGCCAGGGAGTGGCAGTGTTGTTAATCATTATTACCGTATGCAAATCAGTATGCAAATCCCACAGGGCTCCGGACTCCAGGCAAATGCTAATACAGCGCACGCCCACCTCTTGAAGGGCCAATTGTGCGCCTTTCAGATTGACACACTGGAGGGGGCATTGGGGAGAGTGGGAGTGAATGAAATAGGGGCTCCTAGCTCCCAGAGGTCACAGGAGCCTAGACCACAATGACCCGCCCTCACCCCTTAATCTGGAACAGGACGGGCGTTCTCTCATGCTGGCAACCCCTTTCTGGATCAGAGAGGTCCTTTCCAAGCCACCGCCCAGCGAGAATGGCCCTTTCCAGCACACCCTCCCCTTCGCCGCACTCTTCGCTCTTTGCTCAGTCTGTCTTTCAGGCACACACCTCTCCGCACCCAGAACTGGGATCACTCAAGCCCTGCGTTCCGGTCCCTGCTGCCCAGCGCCAGGCCGAGATCGCGGATTCCAGGCATCGGGGCCGGAAACGCTGGAAATTTAGAGCCGCGGGTCGGCACAGTCGGCGGGGACCGAATTCTCCACGCACTGCGGCCGCAAGTGGGAGTCTGGGTCGGATATCACTCTCCCGGAATGCTCAGGGCTCAGGCTGCCGGGCCTTATGCACGTGTCGACCGCTCGCTCCCCATCCTGGGCCAAAGCACCGGGCAGTGGGGGATTCGTGGGCTGTGGGGACAGACCGAGGGACTGGGCAGACTCGGTTGAGAGTTCTCGCTCCTAAGTCCAGACTCGGATCTAGGTACTGGGTACACGTGGCGGGATAGGAGGGCGAATCCCTCCCTTCAGGTCGTGCCCTTTGAGCTCTAGAGCAGCTCTTACGTGGGGTAAGGGCAGTATGTGTGGCCCCTCCGCCCCCAACTCCCCACTCCTGGGACCTGTCCAGTCCCAGCACAGCGAGCTAAGAGCGCGGTGAGCCGGAAAGCTTGCGCGGTGGCGGATCCCACTTCGCCTGGTGCCCAGGCTCCCGAAGTCAAGGGCTGGTGTCGCGTGGACAGTCGGTGAGACACATGCACCCAGCTAGGTCCCCACACACCCCACGCGCGCACACACGGGCTCTCCGGGCTACCTCTCCCCGGGTCCCTACCATACCCTCCTCGGAGCTCACACTCACGCCTACTCCGCGCTCAGCCACCACCCAAGCCGAGCTCACCTTGCCACGCTCACCCCGATACCCACCCTCGCGGGCACACGCACTCACACCCTCGCTGGCACACTCCACCACCTCCAGGCACACCCTAAGATTCCTCCACTCACCCGGGGAGACACACCAGGCTCTGCTCGTCTCCCCGCCCCCCAGCCCCCGCTCACGCGCGCGCCCCTCCACACACAGACACACACACACTCACACCCTCGCGCGGGGAGTCACTCCCCCTCACACGCCCTCGCCCTGGGCACCCTTCCGCGGAGAGCCTCGGGTCTTCCTCATCTCTCCCTCCGCTGCCTGGCGGCCCCGCGCTCCCGTGTCGGGCCTGAGCCGCTCGCCGGCGGGGACGGTCGGGAGCCCAGGGCGCAGTCTCGCAGCCTCCCCCTGACTCTCCTCTCCGCCCCGCCCGCGCCGCGCCCCCACCGCCTCCCCCCCAGGAGAGGGACCTCGCCAGGCAGCCCGTGGCCCGCCGGGCTCCGCTCCGCGCGGCGCCGGCAGCGGCGGGGGCAGGGAACGAGCGAGGGAGCCGCGAGCCCGCGAGCCCGCGAGCGGAGCGGCGAGGCGGGGAGGGGACGCGCTGCTGAACCGGGGCTGGGGCGGCGGGGGAGGGAGGGGCCCACGGGCAGACGGACGCACGAACGGACCGACGAGGGAGGGAGCGAGACTTCGCCGGCGAGGAGGCGGCTGCTGGGCGCTCCCCCGCGCTGCTGGGCGCTCGGCGCCTCCGCGGCCCCCGGCCGGAGCTTCCTGCGCGCGGGGCGCGGGGCCCGGGCTTGCTTCGCCGAAGGTAAGAGGGACGCGACCGAGCCTTCTGGAGCCAGGAAGTGTAAGGAGCGCGGCTCCCACGCCTGTTGCTCCAGCTGCCCACGCGGCAGCCTCCCACCCCCGAGCCCGGGTGGGTGGGCGCTGGGGCGCCGGAAGGATTGGGGGTGGGGCCGGCGCCGCGGGGAGCAGGCAGCCGGCCCGGAGGCGTCGGTTCCCTCGGGCTGCGGAGCCACCTCCGGGCAGCTAGGAGATGTGAGGTTGAGGGGGTGGGGTGTGAACCTCTGCCCTCTTTCCATTGGCCTGCCTTCCCTCGGGGGTGCCAGAGGCAGCGCCCCGGGATCCGGCGGCAGGTGGCGACGGCTTGCTGGGTACCCCTGCTCTTTGTGAGGAGAGGAGAGAAATGGCTGAGGGCGGAAGCAGGGAGCAGTTTGGGGCGCTTCGCAAAGTTCTCCAGCCCGGCGAGCCGGCGGTGTGCCTGCCAGGGGCTGGGGGCCGAACATCTGGTCCTGCTGGACGCTGCTTCTACCCTCCGAGCTCGGGAAAGGCCTCCAAGGGACAACGGGAGGCCAACGCGGCCCGGGGGAGGGGGCTCAAGAGACACACTTTGCGTGGTGTTTACACTGGGGGTGGGGTGCGGAAGGGACTGGGCAGAGAAGTTACCTGGAATCAACTAAATTCCTGCACTTGCTTAGTGTTGACATTTGAATCTAGTCCAAGATGTCCTGCTTTTTTTTATCCCGGGCAGCCGTGACATGTCAGCAACAGGCTGAGGTTCTGGACCTGGAATCTTATAGCAAAAGCTCCGTTGTGTTTCTTAAGAGAGGGTGTCTGAACTTTCTCATGATCCTAGGCACAAAGCGATCTGCTTATAAGATCCAGCAAGGGTTGCTATATGGTGCATGTTAGTATTTTGCATGAATGTATGTGATGGTTAAATGTATGCCTTATTTACTGTTACTTCAAGGGCATCTAGGTGTTTTGTGTCTGTGGAAAGGGGGCCTGGACGTGCACAAATTCAATGCGAAGCATGTGTACATTTCCCCATGTGGACATGTTGGCACATGGTCAGGAATTGATATGTTTATTTTTCCTTTCCACTATTTGAATGCAACAAAATGCAAGTACACAAGAGACCCCCAGAGGAAGAAAGATTAGTAGCTTATTCCCTTTTGCTGTTGAGGAAGCTGGAAAAAAGGAGAGAGTTTAGGAAAGTGCTCTGGTCAGCCTAGGAGTGGCACTGTGGGAGAAGAGGACCTGTGTGTGAGTCCCAGGCCTGTTCCCCAAGGATCCCCAGCTTGGCACCCTGTCAGTTTCATGCCTGCCTGCCCAAACCCTGTGGGCACAGGAGAAAGCCCCCTGGATTGGCAGGACTCTCCCTTTCCCGAGACTGGCCCCATTCTAGGCTCAGCAATGTGATATAAAATTGTGGAAAGTAAAAGTTTCTGGAGACTCTGCACCCTCAGCACTCTGCCTAGGTCATTGAAGGGCAGACCTTGGCAATGTGACATTGTTGCTGCCTTGAGCCTGTGCTCAGGTTAGGCGTCACTCCCCAGGACAGGCTGGCTGGTCACTTTGCCCACTTTTGGCCCTCTCCCTCTCAAACAGAAGCTGTTTGACAGAGCTGACTTTTTACAGCAGGGGAGAATCCGTTTCCCTTTTCCAGGATTTTCTGCCTCTGTCATTTCAGCACTCACCTGTTTTAAAGGTCTCTTCCCCAGCCTGTCCCCACCCCCATCTTTCCCACCATCAAACTCTTCTGCCAAAAACAAAAATAGCTTCAGATTTTTCATTTGTAAGGCGTCCACGTCCTAGTAAAACCTTGGCATTTGAGGCATGTGCAGTGCCATTGGCTGGAAATGGGGCCGCACTGTTGTGCCTGTTGCAGGAATTCATACTCAGGTCGGCTCCAGGAGGTGTTGGTGCCCATCAGGGGGCCCACGCTGCAGTGAGAGCCACTGAGAAGCCCTACTTGAGCCGGGGCATGCCTGTGGGGTTGTGTGGAGGATATGGCTGACGTGACCATGGGCTTGATATCCAGTGGGACTTTTCCCCCCTCCCAAACCCTGGAATTCCCCCTCCCCAACACACACACACACACACACACGCACATGCACACGCACACGCACACAGAAAGTAGCAGTGAGGTAATTGCTCTTTTTTTTTGGTACCTTTTACTAGAGGACAGGGCTTGAGCCTCTGGAGACAGCCTGGCTCTTTCTGCCCTTTGGGAAGAGTGTCCTGAATTAATACATGGGGTAAAGGTTTGGCCTTGGGACTAGAGGTTTTTGTGACAATGAGGAATTGTTTTCCTTTCCCAGCTCCCAGTTATTCACCTGAAAGCAGTTTGTAAAATACTCATGGCCCTCAGAGAGGAGGAGATTGGGGGGGGGGGGCATGGAAAGGCTAATGTGATGGGGCTCAGCTTGGCCTGGGAGGTACCAGGCATTGAATCTTGGGAGTGGGGTGGGGGAGCGGCTCTGGAAGAATTGCAAGGAGAGGGCATTGTCTTCTCAGGTGCAGTGACCTGTCTGGCCCAAGCCGGGTGCTACAGGGTGCCTCCTGGCTCAGCAGTCTCTCACTCTTGCCACTCAAATCCCTTCAAGGTTCTACCTCTCTGAGCTCCATTCTGGGATAAAGCAGGGATATTTAAGGGTCAAAGGTCCAGGGCCCAGAGTCTGGGAACCTGGCCCCCTGTACCCTCCAGGGGTTCAGTGGGTGGACCCGGCCTTTAGTAGCCTTGAGTTCTGAGTGATGAGGCTGTGTGCCCTGTTCTGGGTGCCAGCCTCATCAGGAATTCCCAGAACTGCCTTTGCTAAGAAGAAGTTCCAGCTAACTCCATCCTCACAGCAACAAACCCAGATGCTCTACTTCCTGCTTTGCATGGGCGACGGTTATAAAGAGGTGTCAGTGAGCCCTGAGCTGCAGCCCGGATGTCCTGGATCCAGTGGAATCAAGATTATTGCAGCCTAAGGGCTCCTTGTCACTTTCTTGTCCAAGTCTCTGATTTTACAGGTGGGGATTGTGAGGCCCAGAGGGTGGCAGTGGCTTGCTTTCACAAGTTCACACAGAATTGACACTGGAACACAGCCCATGTTCTTTGCCTGCTCTGCACCCAGCTCTCTCCTCTGGGGGAACATCAGGGCCTGGCTACACCCAGGTCAGGAAAGCCATTTGGCAGTGAGCTGATCAGTGGTCTCTTGGAAAATCATCAACTCCTGGATATCTGGAATGTGACCACTTTGAAGGAAACTTTCTGGGCCTTGATCTCCTTACCTGAAACTTGTGGGCAGAAATGTCCACGTCACAGAGTTTTTGTGGGCATAAATGAAGTGTACTAAAACAGTACCCAGAGCTTTGACAGTGCTCAGTAAGTGTTAATTACATCTGAATTGGAATTACCTGTGACCAAGGTTTAACTTGAGGGCCTGCTTCCCAGACTTCTCTTGCTCCTAAAATCACCCAGCTAAGTGTGTGCTGAGGACACACGCTGTCCCAGCAAGTAGAGGGAAGTATGGGGCATTATAAAGATACATTTCTTGAAGACGTAAAATGCACAGGGCATGTTCCCAAATCTAGCGGTGGTGTGTGGACTACCTGGTGCCGTGGATGAATGATCCCTGATCTTTCTTCAGTTCCCGTAATCAAGAGCTCATCAGGCCTGTGCTGTTTCCTGTTCTCTCAGTGATGACATTTATAGGGAATGTCATTGTCATTCCTGTTGTCTTCTGTGGTATCTGAATCAACCTCCCTTTATGAGGGAGCAGAGGGACCTGTGAATATTCTCTTTAGCATGCAGATAGGGAAACTGAGGCAGAGATTGGCTCCTTGAGAAAACTCCACTGAGGGCACAGTGGAGGCATGGAAATTGGATTCTTTTGATCTATATCTGTTCTTAGAATTTAATGTCTTTTTGGAGAGATTATGCCCACCTTAAAAACCTCTGAAATACAGGGCAAGGCATGGAGTAAATCCAACGGAATGCAGATGGCGTCTGTAAAGTCGGGGCTCACAGTTTGAGCACTTACTGATCGCTGCACTGTGCTCCCTCCCGGGTTGTTAGGTAAAAATGGAGGCGTCTTGGCCTTTGCCTTGAGGAGCTTACTGCAGATGGGGAAGCAGGGCGGTGGCCTGGCTGAACCCTTGAACTCCACATTGAGACTGCCTGAGTCTAAATCTCTCTGCCCACGTATTACCTCAGTTAGTATAACTCCTCATGCTTCGTCGTCCTCATCTGCAAAATGGGGACAGCAGTGGGGTCTGCCCCTCAGGTTGTTGGCGGGCTCATTTGAGATGGTCCGTGTAAGCAGGTGGCACTGTGCCCAGCACGCCGTCAGGCCTCAGGAGCCCTCGCTGCCGTCCTCCTCACAGGAGTTCCCAGAAGTGGTTAGCACCAGGCAGCAGGGCTGAGGTGTGAGCTCAGACTGCCTGAGGGGGCATCTCTGTTCCGCCCCTTCCTGACCACTGCATTTCAGACTCTTTTTCCTAGGTTTGCTGTGCGGAAGCCATGAGATGGTCCACAGGAGACAGTGCAGTGCCTGGCCTATAGTAACTGCTCAATTATCGTTAGCCGTGATTATTAATGAGGCACGCAGAAAGCATCTGTAATCCAGGCCAGCGATGATGGGTGCTAGAGAAGAGGGGCAAACACAGTTCTGGGAGCCGAAAGGAGGAGAGAATCTCATGGTGGGGAGAGGTGGGGGCATCACAGCGAGGGTGAGGGCCAGGTGGGATTCTAAAAGCAGGGCTGAAGGGGAAAGATATTGCCAAGGGAAGGAACAGTGCCCAGCGACGGACCCCACAGGTCTGCGTGAGCCCGTGGTCTTGTTGCTGGAGGCTGAGATGGGTGCATGGGACATGAGCTGCAATGGTAAGCCAGGATCCTATTGTGGAAATGCTTCGGATGCTGGGCTAAGGAGTTCAGGTTTGATTTTGTAGGCTGTGAAGTAACGCCCCATCAGAACCTTGCTCTAGGGAGATGACTCTGAGCAGAATGGATTTCTGGGGAACAGAAGACAAGGGGTTAGGGGTGGTGATGAAGACAAGCAGGCCAGGGGGAAGGAAGCCTGAGGGAACTGGGGCCTTAATGAGGGCAGTAAGAGCCACTGTCTCATTATTTGGCAACTCTGGGTGGAGCAGTGAGGAAGGTGGCCGAGGTGCCAGGCCTGGGGTCAGGGATGTCTAGGGCAAAGGGTGAAAAGCAGCTTCTTGCAAGGAGGGAGATCCAGGTTCAACTTGTCCGGTTTCAGAGGCACCGAGGTAGGAAAGGCCGGGGCAGCTCGGGAGTGAGAGGAGGCAGAGGTCTGAAAATCCTAGAAGGGCTGGGAGTCAGGACGAGGAGGCGGGTTTGACAGGGAGAGATGAAGCTCAAATCCCATTATAAAGCTCACCTCTGCGTCATTTCTTTAAACACAGAGTCCAACCAACTGCACTCCGGAGCATCCCAATGATTCTGAGTCAGGATTGGTTCTGAGTGATCAATTTAGGATTCGTGAGCACGAGCGTGCTAACCCCAAACAATTTCCTGTTGCTGTTGCGTGTGTTTCTGTGTCACCACATGGCTATCCGCAGATGGTGTGCATTTAGGGACTGCAGAGTCATCTCTCTATCGTCTTTAAAAAGCCAGATCTGGGAAGGTAAATCTGTTTCCCAAAGCCAAATATAATTCTCCCTGCTATTGTTTTCTCCATGCAGGCAGGTGACGGGAGGTGTGTGCACAGTGTGGTTCAGAGAGTGGTGGGTGAAGCGACGAGGGGGCCCAGCTCTGGAGGAACTGCTGAGGGTGGGGTGGGGCCAGGTGAAGGAGGCTGGCATGGGAAAGAGTACTGTTATATAACCCAAGGGAGCTAAGGATGGTGGGCAGATGGAGACAGGAGGGGGGATTCTGGAGACGGCAGTGAGCATGGCTCAACTTCCCCTGGGAAGGAGAGGGACAGTGCATGGAAGGCAGGTGAACCAAGAATCCAAGAGTCCCTTTCCAAGGTGGGGAAGGGACCCTGCCTAGCCTCATAGCCTCTCCTGTGTCTCTCTGTCATGGCTCTGAGGGTCCCGATTGGACACTAGGTTGCTAGATGTCCCGAAGAGTACCACTCCACTGGGGACAGCCTTCTCTATTGGACCTGGGGACAGAGCTCGACTAAGTCCTGGACCTCCTGTGGTCACCTGCCATCTGAGAGTTTCCCAGCCCTGGGCAACCCCAGCCTCCTCCTCGCCAGTGAGGAGCAGATGTGTTTACCTGACCTCCTTCATCCATACCCCATTCCTGATTACCCTGGTGGGTGAAGAGTGAAATAAAAATTAGCATGTTTATCCCACTTTGAAATTCGTTTAATGAGAACTCATTTTCCCTCTCCCCATTTAAATTCGCAATAATGCCATAACCTTCAGAGCTGATTATTTCCTGTGCCTTCCCAGATCTTCCTTCCTGCTAAGGAGGCTTTCCCTCCACATGCCCTTGAGCCCCCTTGGAACCTGACAATTTGTCAGGCAGTCGACAACATCTGGTGATCCCCAGCTGCACTGCCCTGTGCTAGGTGCACCCCCTACAGGGGAGGACGGAAAAGAACCAAGTCCTGTCTTGGGTGGTAATTTCAACTTAATTAATTGGCCGTCAAGATGTTTTCTGTTTCCCTCACCAGCGACCCTTCCCTGTGTCCCACTTCCCCCTGGAGGTGGATCAGGACTCACGCGGTTCTCTGCTGTCTCCTCCTGTCTCCCAGGGATCGCGGAACTAAGTCCAAGCTGGTGTGCACGGCGTCTGCGCAGTGGCCGGCCCAGGAGCTGGAGTCACCATGGCGGCGGGAGTGGCAGCCTGGCTGCCTTTTGCGCGGGCTGCGGCCATCGGGTGGATGCCAGTGGCCAACTGCCCCATGCCCCTGGCCCCAGCCGACAAGAACAAGCGGCAGGACGAGCTGATCGTGCTCAATGTGAGCGGGCGGAGGTTCCAGACCTGGCGGACCACGCTGGAGCGCTACCCGGACACGCTGCTGGGCAGCACGGAGAAGGAGTTCTTCTTCAACGAGGACACCAAGGAGTACTTCTTTGACCGGGACCCCGACGTGTTCCGCTGCGTGCTCAACTTCTACCGCACCGGGAAGCTGCACTACCCGCGCTACGAGTGCATCTCGGCCTACGACGACGAGCTGGCCTTCTACGGCATCCTGCCCGAGATCATCGGGGACTGCTGCTACGAGGAGTACAAGGACCGCAAGCGCGAGAACGCCGAGCGGCTCATGGACGACAACGACTCGGAGAACAACCAGGAGTCCATGCCCTCGCTCAGCTTCCGCCAGACCATGTGGCGCGCCTTCGAGAACCCGCACACCAGCACGCTGGCCTTGGTCTTCTATTACGTGACTGGCTTCTTCATCGCCGTGTCGGTCATCACCAACGTGGTGGAGACCGTGCCGTGCGGCACGGTGCCCGGGAGCAAGGAGCTGCCCTGCGGCGAGCGCTACTCCATGGCCTTCTTTTGCCTGGACACGGCCTGCGTCATGATCTTCACCGTGGAGTACCTCCTGCGGCTGTTCGCCGCGCCCAGCCGCTACCGCTTCATCCGCAGCGTGATGAGCATCATCGACGTGGTGGCCATCATGCCCTACTACATCGGCCTGGTCATGACCAACAACGAGGACGTGTCGGGCGCCTTCGTCACGCTGCGGGTCTTCCGCGTCTTCCGCATCTTCAAGTTCTCGAGACACTCGCAGGGCCTGCGGATCCTGGGCTACACGCTCAAGAGCTGTGCCTCGGAACTCGGCTTTCTCCTCTTCTCCCTCACCATGGCCATCATCATCTTCGCCACTGTGATGTTCTATGCCGAGAAGGGCTCCTCCGCCAGCAAGTTCACGAGCATCCCCGCCTCCTTTTGGTACACCATTGTCACCATGACGACACTGGGGTGAGTGGGCTCCGGTGGCCCTGGGCGGGCTGGGCAGGGAGGCGTGGCGCAGCCCTGGACAGTGTCAGGGTTGGGCGGAGCAGAAGGAGAGGGGTCCCTAACAAGCGTGAGCAAGGGAAGTTGCCTCATCAGAAGAGGGAGGCACCTGGCGGATTTGTTTGGGGGCAGTGGCTTGCTTCAGAATTGAGCTTTCTTGCCGTGTATTTTATAAAACAACGTTAAGTTACCATTTCTTTTTCCAGCCGTGCACTCTGCGCGCGTGTGCGGTGATTGCTGCGTTTTTTATGTACCTGTGCACTTAAGGGGAGAAAAGCGGGAGGAACAAGGCTGTGAGCGTCCAGCGCGTGTTACGGGGGGAGGGGGGGTACAGATTTCCATGAACATAAGACACCGACAACACTCTTTTTGGGTCCTTCCTGCATTTGTTCGTAGTGTATTTGCAGGCTGTTTTCTCTTTGGCCTTACTTTTCCTTTCTGCTACCCCAGATGCTCAAGGATTCAGTAGCCCTGAGCAGACTTCCTCCAAGTGACTCTGAACTTGGGTGTTCTGAAAAGCGGGGCACCAGATTTATTGCTCTCACTGAAGCAGGAGCAGTCTTGCTTTCTCAGCCCCTGGCTGTGATGGAATGGCTTGGCCTACCTGGGCGATTGTGAGATACTGAATGAATCATGTGGTCAGACCCAAGCAGCAATATTGTCAAAGGGAGGGAGAAAGACGCACTCAGCGAGGTCACAGGTGACTCTGTCTCTTCTATCTCCCAGAAGTCTGCTCTCCAACCAAGGTCGCAGAAATGTATTTATGGTGCTGGGCTGTGAAGCTTTCCATCAGAAGCAGGGGGCTCAGGAAGGAGATGACAGTCTCCCCCTGACAGGATTAGGGTCAAAGAAGGCAGCTTTCAGGAAACCTGTATTTCTTAGGGTTTCTGCTTCAGTCGTTGCAAGTATTGAAGCTAAAGCAAACCCCCTTCACAATTCATATGCTGGGTCTATATTTGCTTAGGCCAGGAAGTGTTATATTGCTGATGGAGAATTCATGAAGCTTTTTATTTGGTCTTTGACAATTCGGTTGGTGGCGTCCTGGTGATTCAATTTTTTTCCTGGCTAAAATCCTGTGGTGCTGGTGTGGGTTTTTCTGTAGTGTTGGGTGTGCTTATTGGGAGTGACTGAGCAGGTGATGGGACCTTTTAAAATGATTACATTTGTCATTCTGCCACTCTGAAGGGAGAGCCAAGGGGAGAGCACGGGTGTCATTGTCCATCTGTGAAGGCCACTTGGATGGGGGCGTTCTCTTTACCTCTTGTCTGTCTGGCAGAGGTCATCCTGCCCGCTCCTCCCACCCTCTGACACACGCACTTTTTCACAGAGCGGCTCCTGCCCGGAGTGGTAAGGAAGTCTGGCCACTTGACCTTTCCTTTCTTGGTGCAGGTAGCAGACGTGGGCTTTGGGGTGCGGTGGGCTATTAGGGATAAATGAGCTGGAGAGCGTGCTGCTGTGTCAGAAGAATTGGGCACATTTGCGCCTTCCAGGCCGCCCCCGCCATCCCATCACTTCCCTGAAGGGGACCTTACCCCTAGCGAGGACCTGCCTGGCCACACTTTCGATGTGGCTCCGACTGTCTAGTGCCCTCAAGTGTCCTTTGATGGGACTCATGACACCAAAGCGAGGCCTCAGACTGCCATGGGGAGAACACCCAGCGGATGGATGGGTGGCAGAGTTCAGATGGGGTTGTTTCAGAGGATGTCGACGACAGCTTCAGTGGCCACTTGCCTATTATGTTTTATTGTTCGTGTAGCGGCATGTGTGTGTCTACTACGTGTCAGCTGTGTGCTGAGCACTTTGTATATAATGTCTCTTTAAGTCTTCACAACAGCCCTGCCAGGTAGGAAATTTTATTTGAAGATGCAGAAGGTGAGGCTCGGAGAGGTTAAGTACATTTCTGTAGTCACATAGCTGCTAAGGGGCAGAGCTGATTTTTAAATACCAGTCTGGCTGTCTCCATCCAGTGTCCTTCCTCTCACTCACCACTCCACCTGTTCCCCTACCATCAGGGCCCATTGGTGGCAATCAGACCTTCAGAGTCATTACTTGATTATTATTATTATTCTGGTCATATCGCTGTTCAAGAAAGCAGTACAGTGAGTATTACATGGCAAGCACTGTTCTGGGCACACACTGATTTTATAAATAAACGTTTCTTTCTGGCAAGTTGAAAAACGGCCTTCCAAAGAATGGCTGCTTTCATAGAAAATTCCTGTGTTTTACTGTCGCTGGGCAGACCATGGGTTTCCTTTAGCATTCACCCTTTAGATCAAGGGGCAAGTCCATCATCAGGGATGGACAGTCTTGGTCTCACATGTACCTTCTTGGGGAGAGAAAGAACACTGTGCCAGAGGATGAAGGTGAAGGGGTGCATACCTGCTTCCCCTCCCTGTGGGCTCTACACCCTTCCTTCCCCATGCACCAGAATGGCTCGGACGGGAAACTAGTGGGCAAGGAAGGAAGGCTCTCAGGAGTACCTTCCTTCACCTCATCAGTAATGGGAAAGCAGTTTTTATCTTCCTCTCCACCCTGGCCAGTGTCATCTAATGCTGGATTGGGTTGCTTTGAATTTGACCTGAGTGGCCATTTGGAACCATCACCAGGCTCACTGCTTGGCTGTACATAGCAAGGGCTTGGAAAATGCTTTTTAATGGTTAAGTCGATGTGAATGGGGTGTCTTTTCATTTGCTTGGTCTGATACTGTTCCCAGTGCCTTCCAGACCTGCCTGTCCGCTCTCCAGGGTAGACTCAAGATCTGAGCTCTGCCATAGCCCTGGCCCCATGGGAGAGAGGAGAGGAGCCTTCACCGGGTATCTGCTCCACCCCTGAGATGCTTTGCATCATCATGGAGGTCTTCTTACCCTTATTGGAGGTCTTACTAACTCCACCCTGGAAACTTTTATCTCCCCTGGCTGGTTTGTCCTGAGCACATTCACTGGCTGGTTAACCATTTCAGAAAGCCTGTCTTTTTTTTTAGTGTCTTTGCTGTCACTTGAGCCCAGGTGGCTGTGGAATACCAAGGGCCAATATTCTGTCATGTTCCACATTCTGTCTGGTTGCTTCTAACCGCTCCTAGCAGACACTGAGTTCTTCCTGTCTCCAGACCTTCCCCACCCTAATCCTTCCCGAAGTTCCTATTTCCAGTGTGCAGAGACTGTCTTTGGCTCCTTTGCAGAGCAGGGCTGACCGTATGGCCAGTGAAGGGCTTGGCTCTTCCGGGCTCTGCCTGCTTTCCCAGGACTCACGATGGGTTACTCAGGTGTCCTCCAGGGAGGGCTCTCCGGGAGCCAATTATTCCCATTTTTTAAAAAAATATCTCAAAATATATTAAGCACACAGAATAATAACAGCTCAACCACCACCAAGGCTTTAGGGTGGCCTTCCTTTGAAGCCTTTGGTGCTGGGGGGAGACGCTATGCCCAGCCCATGTTCCCCTTCTATCCCTTGACAGTTGAGCTCCCAAATGCCCCATTAAAGGATTAATTTATTTGCTCATAATTGATGCTATAAATAAAATAAATCCTCATTTATCTCAGTTAACAGAGGGAAGGGATAATGCAGAACTCCCAATATTAAATAAGACCAACGCATCTTATTTTGGGAATTAGTTTGGGAATGTATTATACGTTGTAGGCTTTTTCAAAGCCGATTTTCCTTCTTAACTTTGTTTGACTTTGCTTGATATCACAGTTGGCCTGGTGCCTGAGCTCATCTTGGGGGAAGCTCTGGGAGTGGCATGGGGAAGGAGGGAGCCCCTGGGGAAGCCTCGTGGATGATCTGCCAGGGCCATCAAGGGCCAGCTCCAGGCCCCTCTCCAGGCCTAGATGGGATGAGGTCCTCTTGGATAACTTGGGGGGTGGGGGGAATGGGGCTTGGGAAGGGCAAGGGACAGCAGGATTCCTGGTGAGATGGCCCATTGCTGCCTGGTTGGCTTGGTTATGTAATCGAGACCAGCAGCCTCTGACACCCTGTGCCCTGCAATGAAAGAGCTTTGACAGTGTCCAAAAATCACTTTAATAAGAACAGAATCAATTTTCACTTCTTCCAAGCAATAAGCAGCCTCTGGGTGATTTGCATGTCCCTTTAAAATGTAATCCTGGAGGGGGCTGAGCCTGGGAGAGCAATACAGGCACAGCACAGAATGTGGTGCTTGATCAGGCTCCCAGTGCAGAAGTGGAGCCAGGCTGAGATCTGCCTGCGTTAACCCTTCAGTCTCTAGACTTCTGGCTGTACCATCATCCACAGCGGCTGGGTCCCACCAACCCTCGTCCCAATTCCCAAGAGCCCGCCTGGGTGGTGGTGGGATCTGGTCCCAGTGCACTTACTGGGAATGAATGGCCTCAAGCTCTTTTCTTGGTTTGACATTTCTTAAGTCCTCTGGTGCTGAAATTCCTAAGAGAGAGTGCAGACTTGCATCCCAACAAGGAGTCATTCATTCACTTGAAATGTATCGAGTACCTACTGTGCACAGGCTCTGAGAATACACAGGCCCTGTGAGTGCGTGTCAGCCCAATGTAAGGTACAGACAAAGTGAATGGAGTGAGACTCAATTCTCTTCCTTTGAACCAAAACAAGAGAGGGCAGGAACAGCAGTAGACCAAGTCAAAAAGAAAAGGCCTTTACTCCTTCCTGCGCCCCAGGGACTGGCCCTCACTCCACTCCATGTCTGGCTAATTCCCATCATGCTTCAAAACTCAGCCCTCCAGGAGGCTTCCCTCGCCCCCCAGAAGCTGGGTACTCCTCTTGCCCCCCCATGGTAGCCTTTAATATCTCTGTCTTATCAATTGCCACATTCTATCAACTTCACCTGTTTATCTGGCTTTCCTCCAGGATGTGAGCTCTTCAAGGGGAGATCTCTGTTCCAAAGATCATTGCATGATCTGTGCCTACCACTGGGTTTGGTATGTACCAGGCCTCAGGAAACATTTGTTCAGCCAAATAAGTTTATGCCCCAGCTTACC